CCCGTCTACGTGCCACCACACCTCCTACCCCTTTGCCCCCACCCCAACCCGCCACACCGTCACCCATTACTTGTCGCTTTGTGCTAGCCCTTCCTCTCGTCACCCCATGCGAACACCCCCACCTTGTCCCCCGCCACCCTGTATCACTCGACCTTTATGTTGTCAAATTAATTTTGAATTGTCACAAAAAATCTTTTTAAATATTATTTTTTAAATATTAACAATGAAAAATGATTTTTTGGAGAACAAAATTTCTACTGGTAACGCCCCAAAACCCAATCTATCAGCATTAAATAATTAAAAATAGTTAATTAATTATTCAGAGGGACCCAAAGTTTATTGCAAATACTTGTCAATAATTTTTAAAAACTATAGCGTTGTGTAGCATTCAATGAGACAAATCCAATGGTGCAAACAAATCTGAATTCCCGTAGCCCCTCGCCGCTTTGTCACCGTCATCACCATTGTAGGTTCAATTCTTTGTAGTTCCAGTTCATCGGTTCAAGGTGAGTACATAGACATCTAATACTAGATTATACGTATAGATTTGAAATTAACGTTCATAACCTCATATGATTGATTTATGTGGAAATTGATATTTGGTGGGGAAGATTTAGGTTATTGATTATTTAATGGGGCAGAACGCATGTTTAGGCATTATTTCATCAATCGTTTGTTTATATTATCCTTATGAACGTTATCAAAAAGATATGTATGTTGATAGTTGCAAATTTGAGGTTTAAAGGCAAGTTTTTCTAACTTGACAGATTCAGTCCATGACGGATGATAGGTCACTACCGCAGGCGATAGTAAGCTACCGTCACAGGTTATGGTGTACTGTCAGTTGTGATCAGACGAGGAAACGGTCACGGTATGCCACTACCTTTAATGGTACAGAGCAACTAATCAATGGTATGACGGTGCTAGTACTGTTTACAGTGCAGTAGTGCAATTCTGTTCATTTTAATGTTAAAGATGTACTCCGAGACTTTGTATGTTGTATGGCGGTAAACCTGAGTGTTCACACTCAATGCTGACCGATATTTGAATCATGATTGGTTATCTTTGGATATATATTGATTCCCATTGATAAATGCTATGTAAATATGAATGAAATAATTAAATGGTTGAATTAGTCTACCTAGAAGAACTCTAGGATTGACCTGAATGGCATAGTTGCAAGTCATGCCATAAGTATTAAGAGGTTAGATTCATGTGGTATCTGCTAGGTCCAATGACTATCTGGAAAAAAATGCACGTACGTAGATCTATGAACAGTTGTTCTAAAGGAGACATATCTCACCCACCTAACGAGGAACTCCCGAGTTGGTTTTAGCTTGACCTTCGTTCCGAAGGAGAAGGTCATGACTTCTTAGACAAGTTATAATAAATAAGTCTTGGCCCAGAATAGGTTATGAGCTAAAGAAGAATATAAGTCAAGTGATTAAAACAATAAGTACGCAATATGTATGTTAATAATAATGTGCACTGTTAGGTAATGCTTATGTTGCTATCTGTGTTATGCTTATGTGCATGATATCACATGATGTTGTGAGCTTGTGAGTTCAGTTATATGTATGATCAAATGTTAAGTTAGATATTTCTCAGTTAGTGTCAATGTTGAGCTTGTAGTGTTTTTGTTTTGCTACATACACGTAATTGGAGTCAAGATAAATCTGGACCCAATCCTGGAGGGCAATGAAGATGATGAGATGTGCGTAGGCAATCTTGAATATTTTGAAATCTTATTTATTTCTAAATAACTTATTACTTTTACGGGCTTGATTCCCAAGATGTGTTTGAATGTTGACTTAAGCTAATGCATTGTTTTTCAATTACTCTGATGGATGTTGTAAATTATGTTTTGGATTAAATGTTTTAAATTGTTTTGAAAATGTTGTGTTTAGATGCAAATCTAGTAGCAATCCGGTTCGCTAATCCATGTGTTTGGATTATGTGCGTTGGAGTGTTACACTTCTTACCAAACAATAGGATTTGCATGAAAATCATTTTCTCATGAAAAAATATCCCCCAGCCAAATGAGCCCTTACGCCATTTGTTTTAGATTCTTACGCCAATTAAAAATTGTTGTTCCTAATTGACCCCTTTTTCTTTAAAATTTCTTTTTTAAGATCCGTCTTGTGAGTTTTAGATTGTTGATATAGTCTATATTTTGAAATATAAGAGAAATAACGTGTTTTTAAATCAGTATTAAAAGTGTTTGGAGAGATTGAAATGATGAATGTTAGTGGTAAGTGTGCAAGGTCGATGACAACATGCACCCAATGAGGGGGGTGGGGGATGAGAGGATGGCTAGAGATAATTAGTGGCTGTCAATTGGGGAATAGTCAATGGTAGGAGTGGCCGGGATTGAGGGGATATCAAAATCTCTAGATTGATTTCTCTTAAATTTGAGAGATATCATATTAGAATGAGTTGCTTGAGCTATAACGTAGGCTACCTATACTAGTTCGCTAAATGATAAGCAAAAACAAAAGAAACATGCATCTCTCCCTAATAAAGGGATAAGAGACTTTGAATCACAAAAATATCATTGACAAAGGTTGATGGAAGGCTTTGAAGATTTTAAGGCAAGTCATGTTAGATACTGAGCTTCGTCCAAGGGGTCTCTTTGATCCAACTAAAAGCTTCTTTGATTGCCAAGGCCTCTGCTTCCTTTGGTGAGTGGTAGGACGAAATGATGAGATCTTTTGCGGCGTGAAAAAGCCATGATTGTCGCAGATGATCGATCTAACTCACTCTGGTACGGTTGTTATGAAGGACCACATAAGCGTCAACATTGAGTTTTACCCCAATCAAATGGAGGTTTATTTTGTCCATGAGCGGGGACCAAGGGACTGAACGAGGTTAACGATTGTTGGGTTTTGTCAATCAAACCAAGCTGCATGTCATGATGTTGAAGGAGACTACTGAGCCATATAATATCATTTCGAGCTTTTCAAATTGTGGCAATCGAGGATGGAGAAGACTACTGAAGTGTCACTATTGTTGAACAACGAGAGTATGCGAGAAAGCCAGTAAGAAAAAGATGAGCCTTTTGATTTGAACAATCTCGAAGGAGATGATGACCAACAAAGAGATGGTGGGTGGACTCTGCCAATATCTTGTAGAAGGGGTAAAGGGGATTAACATCCACATCTACTTAATTCTTATTGTATTTTAAAAGTCATAATAGACAGTTGTTTAGGAATGAAGGGAGTACTTTCTTCTTAGCTAAATAAAATTACAGTTATTATTCCTGTTTTACTTTTGTTTATGGGCTTGGTTTCCATGACATTGGACCAATGTCATGGAATGACCCGGGGGTGCCCCATTCGTTAAATTGACGGTTCCTACCCCTCTAACCCCCCCGGTAAACCCCCTCACCCCGTCCTAACCCAAACCCACCCCCTTCAATTGCTCCCCCAAGTTAATTTTGACTTTGGAGTCAGATTTTGACTCCAAAGTCAAAATTAACTTGGGGGGTGCAATTGAAGGGGGTGGGGGGTGTGTTTGGATTGGGACAGTGTGGGGAGGTTTACCGGGGGGGTTAGGAGGGGTAGGAACTATCATTTTTACGAATGGGGCACTGGGGCACCCCCGGGTCATCCCATGATATTGGAAACTAATGTCATGGGAACCAAGCCCTTTGTTTATAAGAAATCACCCTACATAGCACTCTAATTCCCCCAAGAATACACATTTAGCACTACCCATTGTTTTTTACAAACTTAGCTATTTATGGTGTCAAACCCTTCCTATCATACCCTTTATCCCTTTCTATTTTTGTCATTAAAATTAGGTTATTGAAGGAGTCCAATTACCGCACTCGTGCGCCTCCACCTACGCGGGTCTCCTTTGTCTACGCCTTCACTCCATTACCCGCGATTCCTTCGCCGATTAGCAGCGGCGATCATCATCACCACATCTCTCTAAGCAATGGATAAATCAGGTTCTCTCCCATGCTTCCTTCTTCGATTTACCTGTATTTTTTTGGTTTTAATTGTTGTTTTTTCTTTTTACGTAATGGGCGAAGGCGAATCCACTACGCCGGCTTTTTTTTGTACCATATTCAGCTTTTTCTTTGACACCATTAATTGTTGTTTTAATAAAATTATGCTAAACACAGCAGCGGTAATGCCTTTCACTTATTTCGATTTCACACTGCCAGCGTTTATTGAATTGTAGTTCGCAGTGTGATGTTTAGGTGTTGTGAAATCATTTTTGAAATACCAAGTATTTGGCCCTTTTAAAAATTTGGATGTTTTGAAAGGCATTGCAAACATGGCAGCGAGGGACTACACTAGTTGGATGTAAGGCTCACATGGTGTAGTTGTTATTTTTCTCTTGATGTTGTTGTTTCTGCTATAAGAACTGCCTATTGGCCCTATTACCCTTTTATGTACTCTTTGGGTTAATATATTTGCACTTTGTTATAAAAAACTATTATAAAGCATAAATATTAGATTGTTTTGACTAATATGATTGTTTTTGGAAGACAAACTATGTCCAACAACTAGACTCTTTTATGGGATGCAGGGGATATATCTTAATTTATAATCTTTTTATTAATTAAGAACACATATATTTCTAAAAGAGCACCTATGCATTTGAACTTTTCCCCTCATTGTAAAAATTTGGGTATGCCATCATGGTATGCAAGTACACACTAGATTAGGTGTTATGGTGTTAGCAGTGTGAAGATTAAATGTTTAAATTTTGTCCTGCATTTTTATTTGTATTTATTTCCTATTTTCATCGTATTGAATGTCTTAATTATTTCTAAGTAGTTAGCATAATTTTATCAAAAAAACAAAGCTGCTTCATTGAACATTAATGAAGTGAAGTTAGAAGTATGTTGTGCGATGTATTTGTTTAATATTCTGAAGTTCGCAATGTGACTAAAACGCCCATCATGTATGTATATACGATGTGTTTTTGTATTCACCACCTCCATTAAATCCAACATTTTCATCGCATATTAGGTTATACGTCTATTCTTTGAGTTCATTCCTTTATTTAATTTAATTGAATATTTTCTCTTTTATTATTTAAAAGGAGCATCACAGATGGGTCCAAATTTGAAGATATTGCTATGTGTTGATGGGACATGGGATACTCATGGAAGCTTTATATTGTGGCAGTGTAGATATATTGTGGCAATGTATATATTGTGGCATTGTATTTCAGACATTAAGTTTTTGGCAATGCATATATTGTGGCAGTGTATTTCAGACATTGAATTTTTGGAAGTACATATTGTGGCTAACATTATGGCAATGTTTATATTGTGGCAGTATAGATATATTGTGGCAGTGTATTATGGCAGTGTATTATATTATATGTATTCTCTTAATCTCTGAGTAGTTTTTCTCTTATTTTACAACACGTTATCAGCACAAATTTGCTCAAAAATCTCAGAATCCTTGTTCTTCTGAGAAGGTATATTTATTTAATTTTCTTCATAAGCAAACTAAAATATTTTCTTAGAAACTATGAGAAGTATGATCTGTGATTGCCCGACTTGTGGCAGTGTAGATATATTGTGGCAGTGTATATATTGTGGCATTGTATTTCAGACATTGAATTTTTGGCAGTGCATATATTGTGGCAGTGTATATCAGACATTGAATTTTTGGAAGTAAATATTGTGGCTAACATTATGGCAGTGTATATATTGTGGCAGTGTAAATATATTGTGGCAGTGTATATATTGTGGCAGTGTATTGGGAATGCCAATGTCTATCAACACTTTTTGGCAGTGTCCTATGACCTAGTTTCGCTAGTGTCTTTTCGTCAAAAGTGATCTATATATAAAAATCTCACTATCATATATTTTTCATTGAATTACGTATAAAGTGGATATGCAGTGTAAGCGTAAAGTTTTTTGGAAGTGTGAAATGGTCGTGGTATGTGTGCAATGTATTTCAATGTATGCTCCAAATATTCCATACAAACTCTTTAAAGTGACAACATATTTCAATGTATGCTCCAAATAAAACCAAATCAATGATAAGCACTTGTATAAAACTCTCCACTAATCCACTTCTCAAATCACTTATAAATTAAACGCCCATAAATTATTACTAAAAAAACTTTCATGAATAACACCGAAAATTTTAAACAAAAACACCAAACAACTGTCATACGAAGATTAAATTATCCAACATAACAGAGAAAAATCTATTGCTTCCTGGATTCTGCCTTTCTTTCATAGTTATAAGCTAAATGTTCTGTTGTCCTTTTAACCCGGTAAGCTTCCATGTCACATGACTGCACTTCCCGTATGTCTAAATCCATCATTAGAAACTCGGCGAATTTCACCACAAACATACCACAATTACACCTGCATATGTATATGTATTTCAAAGTCAGTAAACATTGGGTATTATTTACATATTCAACAAAGGTAAGATCACTCACACTAAATCATAATACTTAACTACCACATATTCTTCTTTAAACTCGCTGCCACAATTCACAAAAAACACGCTGCCAACAACTTAAACCCAGTGCCAACATTCACCAAAAAAACTCACTGCCTCAGGTAAAAAAAACTCATAAAAACACACAGCCAAGAAACAAAAACCCAAAAAAATAATAATTATGTTTTAGTGGAGAACAAAAAACCCCAAAAACACACTGCCAAGAAATAAAAAAACCCAAAAAAAAAAATTACGTCCAACATTCACAAAAAAACATAAACGGTTTTAAAAAACCAAAAAAAACCATTACGTTTCAAAAAAAACACACTGCCAAGCTTTAAAAACAAAAAACCACACTGCCTAAGGAATTTTTTTTTGCTAAAACCACAAAAAATTCATTCCAGTGGTTCTTCACGGTCTAGGCAATGATGTTCTTCTCTAGCATTGGTCAAGACACCCCTGTTGAATTCATTGGCAGTGGTTCTTCACTATTTTTTTGCCAAACAATTACACAGTACATAACACAAACCCTAAACGTGCGCCATGACTATTGTGAAACCAAAAACAAGCCAAATCTAATGCCAAAGCTACGAATTCACTGCCAAATTAAACAAATGTATTGCCGATAAAATAACTAGTATGCCAAAGTACTACCAACCTTACAATTATGCCAAAGTAACAAATTCACCGCCAAAACGAAGCATACTTGTATCTTCTGCATTCATTTGCTTAGAGGAATATCGTCCAGCGCATCATCGCTTGCCATTGAAACCCTAGCACTACGTGTCCCTTCTCGAAACTGCTGCCTTCAAGGTCGTGTGTTTTGCGGTAATCTTGCGTGAAGCACTGCCGCGTTCAAGGTCGTGAAGCTCTGCTGCGTTCAAATGCCGTGAATTTTCGGTAAATATCGCTTGAAGCTCGGCGGCCAATTACTACTTTTTAACCTAATTGAGTATAATACAAATTTGTTTAATTAAGGGCAACATTGGGAATTCATCTCAAAAACTTATAGCACTGCTATTTTGCGTATTATAAGCCTATTAAAGTGCTATATTTGTATTTCTCCCTTTGTTTATTTATACTCTATTCGTCCCAATTTTGGTTACAATTTTATTTTCTCTCCTCTCGATATTTTTTTATTTATATATTTTCATTAATTATTTGATAAAAAAATGCTCTTGTCACCTTTTGTTTTGTAGATCTTTTGACATAACTTTTTAATATGTAATTTTTATTTTTTGTTGTTGTACGAATTTGTTAAAAAAATGATTTCAAAAGTAGTGAGTTTTTATCTCATAATTCCAAATTTGTAATAAAAATTGACACGGAGGGAACATATTATGTTTGATCATTTGATTTTGAGGTACAATTCTTGATAGAGAAAATATCACTGAGTTTTAAGCAAATACAACAATGCAAATTTTTTATATTTGCTATTGATATTTTAATTATTAAAATATATAGCCTTTCTCTTCGCAATTAATTTGGATGTTGTAGGTTATGATGATTGACTAAATTTATATGAGAATTAAGGCAAAAATTTCAAACCAAAATTTATACATATTTAAAAACTATATAAAAAATTTTTACAAAACAAGAAAAACACTATTTTATTTTATTTAATGAGTAATAAAATTAATGAAATAAATTAATTGACTTTTATCCTGAAATAGTGTTTAAATTAATTGGAGTCAGGAGTAATTAATTAATTACTTAAACATTTTAATAGCACTAGTTTGTTTCAGAATTTTGTCATTTATTTCTTGAGAACTCATCTTGTACAATTTTCATTCGAGATATGAGGAATAATTTACTAGAAATATTTAAAAATATATTTTTCTCAGTCTTGTAATCTTTTCGCTAAAAAATTAAGGAGTACTCTTTTCGTTAAACTTTATTCACTTTTTTTACTTATTTTCGTTACTCATTTAATAAAATAATATAATCATGTTACTTCTTTTTTTGAATATCTTTTGATGTAGTTTTTTAATATGTAATTTTTATTTTTTTAATTTCATACCATTTTTTTATAAAATAATTTAAATCAAATATCGTAATGCGGAACGAGAATATAATTCTGGGAGTGAGGAAGTATAGAATTGGTCCTAATTCAAAACAATGCCATTTTTGCCCACCCCTACCCATATTGGCCATATACCCCCCCACCTTAACCACTAGTCTGAAAATGATATGTGGGCGAGACGACCGCATCCAACCACGCTTGCTCTTATCCTTCCATATATACTCCCAACAAAATACAGCGCCAACTCAGTCATTTCCGCAAGCTCAACTATCATATCACAATCGACGAATCCCTGAGATCTTCTTCGATCTCCACATTTACGGATCTGTTGCCCAACAGATTCGACTAAAATGGAAGGAGGAGCGTCGGCGAAAGTTAAAATCGGGCGGTGGAAGAAGCAGAGGGGTTACAGGAGGATAAGCGAAGTGACCGGAGAAGCGCGGCGGAGCAAGCGGCGGTTCTGGAAAATTCCGGCCCGATTCAAGCTCCGGATGAACCTCCGCTTCTCTCCGAAAAAGCTCCTGATCAGAATCAGAGACGCTTATGTGAAGATGATGCTGAGGATTGCCAACTCGCCGGGCGTCGCCGGGTTCGCCGGCGGCGGCGCGCCGGGATTCGGTTCCCGCGAACTCAGGGAGTACGATGAGAAGATGCTGGTCCAGATCTACAGGTCCCTCCTCGTGTCCCAATCTCAGGCCGATAAGAATGGCCTGCCGCCGGTAATGATTCCGACCAAATCCAAAGATTAAACAAAAAAACCTACTCCGTACTATTCAAATCTTCATCAGTTTCCGAAGTTATCTTCCAATCAGTTGTTCTCTCTCGTTTTCTTTTTAGAATGCGAGTGCAATTCAAATCGCACTCATTTAAAAAGGCATTTATTTCCTAAGCATTCAAATTGTAAAAAGATAGTCGTATTTTATTAAGGCCCCGTTTGGCATCAGGAGATTAGCGTTAGCGTTTTGAAAAAGCTATCTGACGGTAGCCTTTAGCGTTAGCGTTTTCAGAATTAATCTGCACCGTTAAAATTTTATCCAAAACGCTAACGCTAATCGAAAACGCTGTTACCAAACAAAGCCTAAGTCCATTTTATTAATCACGATTTGTGAATTGGTAACTTTGCTTTTTCTGGTTTTTACCATGAAAAAAGAGGAAGGTTCCCATGACATTGGTTCCCAATGTCATATGATGACCCGGGGGCGCTTAGTGTTTCGTTCGTAGAATTGACGGTTCTTACCCCCTAATCCCGTTAGACCCCCACCCCGCCCCCACCCAAACACACCCCCACCCCACAAGTCGATTTTGACTTTGGACTCAAAATTTGACTCCAAAGTCAAAATTGACTTGTGGGGTGCAATTGAAGGGGGTGGGGGTGTGTTCGGGTCGGGGCGGGGTGGGGGTTTACCGGGGGATTAGGAGAGATATGAACGGTCAATTTTACGAACGGGGCACCGGAGCGTCCCGCACTAGCTCCTTCTCTTCCGGCGTTTGGTTCTTCCGTTCCACCCACCCAGGTGGAAGGACCAGGCGTCGGGGGCTAATGCAGTCGGTTTAATGGTGGCTTACCAATGTCATGGGAACCAAGGGGATGAAAAAATGTTTATACTCCTTTTTAGTCAAACAACGTAAAGCGTAACGAGAAGATAATTTTTAGAGGGAGAGTAAAAAGGATTAAGCTATTTGTGCACCAAAATTTGTATCTCATTTTATATATCCCAAAGACATACACCGACAATTTATGCTAGTCTGATGCTAGTGTAGTGATTTACATTGTTACAAAATGTTAATGAATATTTTATACGAGTGTGAACCGTTAAAATATTGATGCATTTTTTTTTGGTACAAGTTGAGATATATTTTTCGGTGTACCCAAATAAAACACACCAACCTTGTAGGTCGTTAACAAGGCTCACCGATGCCTTTGTTAATTGGGTTGTGCCATGAGGCAATTGTTTATTTGTTTATGTATAAGAGCATTTCCAAAGGTTTTGGTATAATTCGATTTGCTAAATGTTATTTTAGCTAGAAAATAGTATTTTGCCTACATGATTTTACCTATTTTTCCAACCGTATTTGGTAAATTTTACCTATTTAATGCGGAGCATATTTTATTCTCATTCTTCTATTTTCTTTTAAATTATTTTTAACTTTTCGATCTTCTCTATATTGAGTATTGAATATTATGTTGAATTTATATTTATACTCCCTCCGTCCATTTTTAATGTTTCTACTTTCCTTTTCGGTCCGTCCACAAATAAAGTTTCTATTTCCTTTTTTGGTAACTTTTCTTTACTAAAATGACTCAAGTACCCTTATCCTCTCTTCATATTTTCTCTTTTCTTTTTCTCCTCTCTTTTATTCTCAATCTCCTCGTTTCCCTCATCTTCCTCTCTTTTCTTCTTCCCAGCTCCCCCCTTCCTTCTTCTTCTCTTTTTTTTGCCGACCCATGTTTTCCTTTCCTTCTTTTTTCTTCTTCTTCTTTCATTCTTCTTCTTCTTCTTTCTTTTCTTCTTACAGTCATTATATGCTACATTTTTGCACTGCAAATGCTCAGATCTTTTCATCCACCTTGCTCGCCATCTTCTTCCCTTTTTTAGATCTATGAAACTTTATTTTTTTCAGATTTATTTGAAATTTTTTGAGATCCGAGAGGCAGGAGGTGAGGCGGCGGTTAGAGGTAGCCGCGGAGCAACAAGGCTGCGGTCGGAATGGTTTGAAGCAACAAGGAACGAGTCTAGATCTAAAACTTCGATTGCACGGACAAAATGAAGGAATGGTTTTGAAGCTTCGACAGTTTGTGATACGGGATTTATTATTATTATTATTATTATTATTATTACTATTATTAATGGTTAGTGGTTATTATTATTATTATATTAGGATCATAATAATAAATACCAATCAATTAATATAATAATAATCTTTCATTATAAGATAACAATCCTATAAACAATGGTAAATATTAATCCTAAGGATATAATAAATCAAAAGAAGATACCATTCCTAAGAAATCTACAGGATCGATATTTACATAGGTAAAGTTATTTAATAAATAGTTACTTATTTCTTTTATCTTTCTCCTAAACCTTAATCTCTCTCTCTCGCCTCTTTTGTTCTTGGAGCTTGAAGGTGCTCGAAATCCTTCTCTATCCCGATACGATTCCGTATCAGTTTGCCTACTAACCCCGAATAATGAGGGAGGGCGGTGGAGAGGTCTCGATCGATGGTGAAGCTCTTTGCCAGGGTAGTTGGGTCTAGGTCGCTGGGAGGGATTTGGGGCTGGGTTAATTGGTTGGTTGATTGGTTGGGGACTTGGGGTTATGTGTATGGGTATTTTGGGGAGGTCAACACATTTTTCACTTTTTCTTAATCTTCGTGCCCAGTCAAACCCTGAACATTAAAAATGGACGGAGGGAGTATATAGCAACTTGGATTGTCATTTTAGCAAACTTGGTAAATTTTATCTACATGATTGGGGATGAAAAAAATCGTTTAATGTAATAAAGGAGACTCGGATTCATGGGAATGCGACATTTGGCATGCCTATTTGGCAAAAATTGAACACGTTAGCGAGCCACGTAATAATAGTAATTTTAAAAGAAAATTTGCTACGGACTGCACCAGCGGAGTTCCCTATCCTTTAATAGGTTATTCCACTTGAACGCAAAAGTTTCTGCGATAGTTGCTGGTCTTCAAAAAAGGAATCGTTGGCTTCAAAAAAATTCTTTCCTTCGATGTTCGCTGGCTGAAGATCTGCCGATAATGTATACTTATAACCCAAAAAAGGGATATACATAAATTTATGTTTTCTGATTACAACAATACGAACTTCTATTATGATGATAATATAAAATAATTAAAAATAAACATGAAAAAATATAAATACTATTTAAAAAAATATATAATATTTTTTCATTTAATTTAAATTAATAAGTTACAAAGGTTTATTATGAAATTCGTGTATAATAAGAGTTAAAATCAATAGAGTACCTATATTAATGGAAATTAGAATATTATTTTTTACAAAAAAAGATTATTAAGAAACAATCGTAAATAATACTAAATTTGAAAATGATGATCACGAGTACATTACTCATCACCTTACTTATATTATGTATGTTGGATAATACTAATATTATTTTGGATTCATTTACTTATAAATGGAAATCCTTCATTATGTGTCTTGGATAATCAATAATATTATCTGTTAATATATGTTTTCAGATTACAACAATACAAACTCTTATTACGAGGATAATATAAAGAATTAAAATAAATACGAAAAATATAAATACTATTTAAAAAATAAAAAAGAAATATAATAATTTCCATTTAACTTACATAGAATTTTAGAACCGTGCTACATATATTAATCCTTTATCTTACTTCCATATTTATAAATTTCATATAGCTTGAAATCAATGGAAATTAATGTATATATAGCTTGAAATCAATAGAGTATCTATACTAATAGAAATTCCAAGGAATGTGAAACTCTCCTAAGTAATAAGGAATTCTCACCGTAATAAAGTCCTTCCTAAAATACAAAAGGTAAGTAAATAATTAAATGTGAAACTCTTCTAATAGAGTCATGCGTTAGAAAATGATTCATGCATAGCCATGAATGGTATGATATGATTTCCAAGAATAAATTATTTCCTTACCATATGGGCATTGACAAAATTTACGAAAAATATTATTAAGAAACAATCATAAAAAATACTAAATTTGGAAATTATGATCACGACTATATTATTCATCACGTTACTTGTATTATGTATGTTGGGTAATATTAATATTATTTTGGATATGGCAATCCTTAATTATGTATCTTGGATAATCAATAATATTATCCTGGATTTGATTTTTAGTAATGAATTCGTTATATCTAAATTGGACACAATATTATTTTGAATTCCTTACTTATATATCTAATTGGCAATGAGTTAAATTGCTCACTTTTATATCCAAATTTATGGAAACTCTTATATACTTGGGTCAAAAAATTATTACAAAAAGAGATATATAATGAGTTGAAATGTGCCATCCACTACCCATTTTCATTTTCCATTTCTATACATAGGCATTCATAATCAATTATGCAATAAAGAAGCGGAGAATTGTTAATTCAACTTCAGCCTTTTGTTTTTAAAATTATTGGTGGTAGGAGCATCCTATTTTTCAATTTCAATTGGGCCTATGGAAAATCAAGTCGACGATACATGGACGAGATCAAACGGCACAAAATCAAACGGGATATTTTAGTGACCAGAATTTTTGTATTTAAAATTTATATGGTTGCTTTTTAATGAGCATTAAAAAAATTTCTTAAAAAAATCTAAATCGTTAGTATAGATAAATTAATTTATGTTAAATAAATAAAGTTTTATACAAAATTTAAAATTAGATGTCAATTTTAGAAGGATTTAACAAATTCTCCATGTGAGAATAAACACTCCAAGAAAAGATTACATAAAAATATGTGTACTTTTTTAATTATAGTCATGTTATTTTATCAATTATAATCTGCATCCGTAAAAAATTAAACGTCGTTCATATATTTCATAGAAATCATGGATAATTAAAATGTAAAATTGTTGATTTATCTAAGTATGCGTATAGCTCACTGATTGTTTTTTTTTATCAATTTTATATTTACATCAATAGGAATAAAATGATGTCTAACCATGACTATTTAATTTCATTTTTATATATTTTAATGAAAAAAATAGTCTATACATATAGAATATTTTAAACAATTGAATAGACGAAGATTTACAAAGTTGAGTAAAAATATATGCATATTAAAAAAATTTTAAAAAAATTCAAAACTTTGCAATAAATTTGATATGAAATGGGTAAATATAAAAAAATGTGAGTACATTTTTTAAAATAAAAAGATATGCATGCGGGGGGAAAAAATTTAGACATTGATACGGAATAATCAATGTAAACAATTCAAAGTTCAAATATAATTTTTAAATTGGAAAATTTACTTATATCTAACACGTAATTCATTTATCACAATGGCAACTAAGTTGTGTTCAACTGAAATAATTGATACTCTATATATATATATATATATATTCATAGTCAGAGGAGTTAACCTATACCTAGATAATAGTAAAACATAATGACTTTCCCTAAATAGCAACATATGTTTTTTATTTCCCAATGTAGCACTTTTAGTTATTTCCCATTAGCCATTATTTAGATAAATGTTCACCGTCACAGGATATTATTTCTCCTTCTTGACATTATTAAACATTATTTAAGGGATAAAAGTTTAAGTCTTATGTTGGAAAATGACTTATGTTTTAGTGCTATTTAGTGCAGATATTTATCATAGTTATTGTTTCTACATTTCATTTCACAGAAAAGACATTTGGTGAAAATATGTGTCAACAGGAACTAGAGAGTTATACTATTTGAGAAAACTTTTAATGGTTCAACGAGGATGTAAAAGCTTTCAGAGCTTGAGGACGGTTAACAATGTTATACATAACTCTTTCCAAGAAGCATGCGAAGCATTAGGGTTATTAGCCAATGTTAAAGAATTCATTGAGGGAATAAAAGAGGCTGATGAGCTAGGATCAGGAAATCAATTAAGAAAGTAGTTTGTCACATTGTTAGTGACAAATACCATGAGCCGTCCTCAAGTTGCTTGGGAAAAAACATGGGAGCTCTTAGTTGATGGAATTTTATTTGATCGAAGAAGAATATTGCATAATTAAGGTATTTTTATAAAAACTTATTTTTTTATTATATATATAAACATTAATATGAAATGAATGGTATCTATACAAAAACTCTAGAATTGACATATTTGTCGAAATAATTTAGTCTAATATTAACTTTTTTGCAGAACTTCTTATCTCCTCAGAAAATCTAAAGAATTCGTGTTTGATTGAGATTGAAAAGTTACTTAATTCAAACTGATGGTCCTTAAAAGAGTTTGGTGGTATGCCATTTCCAGATGACAACCCACTCAATAGATTTCAAAATAATTTCTTGGTAGAAGAGTTGAACTATGATAGAGAAAAATTGTCATCTGATCTTGGACAATACTTATCTACCATGAACGAAGACAAGAAGAAGATATATACGGCGATATAATGGAAGTCATGGCAGCTGAAAAAGGAGGTTTCTTTTTTGTGTATGGTTACGGGGTAACCGGAAAGACCTTCCTCTGGAAATCATTATCCGCTTCTCTTAGATCAAAAGGAAAGGTTGTTTTGAATGTTGCATCTAGTGGGATTGCAGCATTGTTATTCCATGGGACTGCACACTCTAGATTCTCAATCCCATTGGCGCTAACTGAGTGCTCAACATGTGCCATTAAACAAGGGAGCCTGAAAGCTGAATTCATCCAACAAGCAAGTCTGATCATATGGGATGAAGCATGCATGATGAATAGATTTGCTTTTGAGGCTTTGGATCGCACAATGAGATATATCATGGGGTTCTCTAATGGTAACTACAGAAATGAACCATTTGGAGGGAAAACAGTTATACTCGGAGGTGACTTTCAGCAGATCCTTCCAGTTTTACCCAGAGCTTCGAGAGAGGAAATTGTAGGTGCTACGGTCAATTCCTTGCATTTGTGGTCGGACTGTAAAGTTTATACGTTGACCAGGAATAAGATACTGCATTCATCCACGTCTTCTTGCACATATAAGGACACACAAGCTTTTTCAGCTGATTGGATAATCAAAATGAGTGATGGAAAGCTAGGTTAGGTGATGGATAAAGTTGGTGATGTTGAGATTCCACCTGAATTCTTAATTCTTGATACAAGTT